GGGGAGGATGTTGAAGACCTGAAGCTGCGCTATGAACAACAATTTAAAATCCACAGTGGAATTAATTGTGACAAAAACACAGACTGCTTATCAGCAACAACTTAAGAATGGTCTAATGCAGGCTTTTAGACCAGAAATCACAAGTTGGTTTAAAAAACATTGCATTGAAGTGGACACATGACCTATGTCCACTTTGATGCAACGGGCAAGACATGCAGAGAAATTTGCCAAAAAGAAACCCAGCCAACCTAAAACCAGCACCGACACATTCTACACGCTCGATGTTACAGACACAGAAATTTTCTACACAAATGAACACCCACATAGACCTCAATTTAACTCAGGATGCAGAGGAAGGTTTAGACCACAATAAAACAGAACCAGAGGTTCTCATCGGTTCCATAGACCACAGCGTACTCCACAATTTAGTGGTCCACCGAGATATACTGGGCCATTCCAAGAACAACACCCTCAGGATGACTGCTGCTGGCGATGTGGTCAAGCTGGCCATTGGGCCAGAGATTGTAGATCGCTCCCTCCTCAGAGCCAACAACATAAGGTCTAGCTGACTTTTACTTAGTTTTAAATAAAATCACAAGGTCAGTGTGAGAACTGTTATCTGAGTGCTGCCAGCTCTCTGTCTGGGAGACCACACACACACACACACACAGCCACACACAAACACACACACACACAAACACACACACCGCACGCACACACGCACACACACACACACATTCACAACACGCCAAGTTGCACTGAAGCATACTTAAAGAGCTAAAATGACAACAGTTGAGTGGAATTTCTGAGCGATCCACGAAGGGAGTGTTTGTTAAATATGTGTGTGGAAAAGATAACGGCTTAATTAGTGAGTAAAATATCCAGTTTGTGGAGAATATTTGTTATGGTGTATGCTGGTGAAGATTCTCAGTCATCCAGGACATGATGAATTCAAAAGACATTCAACATAAAAACAACTGGACTTCATTTGTAACAGAAGACATTTCGCTTTTGTTATAGTGTAGTTTTTGTGAGCAAAATTCAGAGTGAAAGTGATGATTTCTGGCACCTAAGAAAATCTGAGAAATAAAGTACTACTGTTGCGTGATCAGGATGTTTACAGCACAACAGAGAAGAACAAATGAGACAAATTGAACTTGTTGTAGAATCTGTGACCTAGAAAAGATGGTGTGTATCAGATTTGAGTTCATGTAGGTTCTAAAATTGGCCTTCAGCTTGAAAGAAGAAAAACGTAGCAGTAGTTGTGTGAGTGAGCTCCACACTCATTGCCCTCAAAGGGCCAGATATAAATGTAAGATTGCTGTATAAATGTAGATAAATTTAACTAAATGTAATATAAAATAAAATACAACTACTCCTTAAGTTTAAATAACGCTGATTTTATTTATTTAACTTACAAATATCACATATATTCATATATATTTGCATAGATGTAGGAAAATATGTCTGCTTGTTGCTCTGTTATAACATAAAAAACCTGTCAGGTTATGAAACCCACACTACTCCATAAATCAATTATCAAACTTTCCAAGTGAATAAGGAAAATAACAAGTTATGACATTAACTTTGTTCAAAACTTTGACATAGTGAAGAGGGGCAGAATGGTCCAACCCACAATTGTGAGCTGCTAAGAACATGTGACAGCTGTAGCATTAGACAGAGAACAAATGGCTGCACACAGCCTGGCAAGGGCCTTACATCTAACTAATGAGAGATGGAATTAACAAAAAAAATATATATATATTTTCATAAACACGTAAACCTGCAATCCCAAATACATAGGTGGAAATTTAACATGATATACAGGTCCTTCTAAAAAAATTAGCATATTGTGATAAAGGTCATTATTTTCCATAATGTAATGATACAAATGAAACTTTCATATATTTCAGATTCATTGCACACCAACTGAAATATTTCAGGTCTTTAATTGTTTTAATACTGATGATTATGGCATACAGCTCATGAAAACCCAAAAGGCCTGTCCCAAAAAATTAGCATATCATGAAAAGTTTCTCTAAACAAGCTATTAACCTAACCATCTGAATCAACGACGTAACTCTAAACACCTGCAAAAGATTCCTGAGGCTTTTAAAAACTCCCAGCCTTGTTCATTACTCAAAACCGCAATCATGGGTAAGACTGCCGACCTGACTGCTGTCCAGAAGGACATCATTGACACCCTCAAGCAACAGGGTAAGACACAGAAAGAAATTGCTGAACGAATAGGCTGTTCCCAGAGTGCTGTATCAAGGCACCTCAGTGGGAAGTCTGTGGGAAGGGAAAAGTGTGGCAGAAAATGCTGCACAATGAGAAGAGGTGACCGGACCCTGAGGAGGATTGTGGAGAAGGGCCGATTCCAGACCTTGGGGGACCTGCGGCAGCAGTGGACTGAGTCTGGAGTAGAAACATCCAGAGCCACCGTGCACAGGCGTATGCAGGAAATGGGCTACAGGTGCTGCATTCCCCAGGTCAAGTCACTTTTGAACCAGAAACAGCGGCAGAAGCGCCTGACCTGGGCTACAGAGAAGCAGCACTGGACTGTTGCTCAGTGGTCCAAAGTACTTTTTTCGGATGAAAGCAAATTTTGCATGTCATTCGGAAATCAAGGTGCCAGAGTCTGGAGGAAGACTGGGGAGAAGGAAATGCCAAAATGCCAGAAGTCCAGTGTGAAGCACCCACAGTCAGTGATGGTCTAGGGTGCTATGTCAGCTGTTGGTGTTGGTCCACTGTGTTTTATCAAGGGCAGGGTCAATGCAGCTAGCTATCAGGAGATTTTGGAGCACTTCATGCTTCCATCTGCTGAAAAGCTTTATGGAGATGAAGATTTCATTTTTCAGCATGACCTGGCACCTGCTCACAGTGCCAAAACCACTGGTAAATGGTTTACTGACGATGGTATTACTGTGCTCAATTGGCCTGCCAACTCTCCTGACCTGAACCCCATAGAGAACCTGTGGGATATTGTGAAGAGAAAGTTGAGAGACGCAAGACCCAACACTCTGGATGAGCTTAAGGCCGCTATCGAAACATCCTGGGCCTCCATAACACCTCAGCAGTGCCACAGGCTGATTGCCTCCATGCCACGCCACATTGAAGCAGTCACTCATGCAAAAGGATTCCCGACCAAGTACTGAGTGCATAACTGAACATGATGATTTGAAGGTTGGCGTTTTTTGTATTAAAAACACTTGTCTTTCATTGGTGGGATGAAATATGCTAATTTTTTGGGACAGGCCTTTTGGGTTTTCATGAGCTGTATGCCATAATCATCAGTATTAAAACAATTAAAGACCTGAAATATTTCAGTTGGTGTGCAATGAATCTGAAATACATGAAATATTCATTTTTATCATTACATTATAGAAAATAATGACCTTTATCACAATATGCTAATTTTTTTAGAAGGACCTGTAATAAGCAAGATAACCACATTAAGAGTTGAAGGCTCACTTTAGCAGACTTAGCACTGTGCTTGGCATTAAATATGGAAAATATACTAGCAGATTGTGTCAGTGTGCCCGTTTCACTTATTATATGACAATCAGACCATTTAAGCTCTCGCGGGCCTTGAGTTTGACACGTGTGGTGTAAAGAGTTTTGCCTTAGATTCTGAGTTTGAGCTTTATTAGTCTATGTGTAACCTGAGATGGAGAACTTTACAAATTGGATTTGCTATTTAGGTGAAGGTTTCTGTTAAGTGCCCTGAGACAACTTTTTGTGTGGTTTAGAGCTATAAATAAATAAATGAAAGAATAATAACATAATTGAATTGGATTGATTTATTTTTAAGCTAATCTTAATTTAAGAAAAAGTTGAATTTAGTGAGTTCTTGAATCAGGAGGGATGTTCTGGCAACACACAGAATGTACACAATGGTTCATATAGGATGCTAGGACCCAAAAGCAATTGCGGTTTGACATCTTAGAGGCCCGGTTCTGGATGTGCAGTAGTGGATCACATGTGTATAGTTGATGCAGAAAACTAGGCTGCCAACAAATTGTGACTTCATGAGACCACCGGATTGTGGCACCTGGGGTTGAATGACATCCTGTTCTGCTACAAAACAACAAGAGAATAATCTAAGTTTGGAGTCAGGAACTGAACTGAAACAAAATGCTGGTGTCTGTGGAACTTTATTTTGTCCAGGAGGGGGTGCTGGACTAACATCATGATGAACTCTTGAACTCTGAACATGCAGTATCTCCAAAGTCAGGCTGGAGAAAACCTGGAGCAGTGGTCAAGTAAATGTCACTACAACGTCTGGATTGAGTGTCGACTTCACATGTGATTTATGATGGTGCGTTGGCTCCAGTTTCAGGATGGATGCTACATTTTGCTCTGACATAAAGGCACTCACATAGACACACTTTTCAAACATAACAGCAGGACTTTTAATTTTGAAATGTAGTATTGAGTTTGCTAGAACAACTGCCTTATTCAATTGCTCTTAGACAAAAGAAGAGGTTTGTTATCTTAAAGCCTTGTATCAAAATGAATAATGCTACTCCTGAGCAAATTATTGGCTTTTTTCTAGTTGTAAATGACATTGGATCAATGTTTGGACATTTGGTTTTGTTGGTCTAAAGTCTAAAATGGAAGTTCTAAATTGCGGTTGATCTCATAGGGTCAGAAATACATTATTTCATATAGAGCTCTAATTTGAAAAATAAATAAATAAATAAAATATTATGAACAAGGGAAAATTCAGATTACACATAAAAAGTATTTTGGGAGAACACAAGGCAGGGACCTTACATCACCAAAAACCGAATGCGGGAAAACTTTTCTTAGACGTTTCATTATTAACGTTGAGTTAATAAATGTGCCTGTTTGACAATTGGGACAAAGCTTTGACCCAGAAATAGATTTTTGTTGTTTATGGAAAGAAAAAAATATTGCGTTAGATATTGTACATCACAATTCATCTTAAAATATCTAGATATTAATTTTGGTCCATATCGCCCAGCCCTACTCACCAGGCTGCGAGGTGTCCATCTGTCCCCTCTTGGCACGCAAGCAGTACTCCCAGCGAACATCTGGGTCTTCGACGAAGCGTGCAATGTGACTGAAAAGCTGGCTGAAGCTCATACTGGTGGCATGGTAAACTGTGTAGTATAGGAGCGAGGCACGCCACAGGTATGGCTGCTTACGGAGCAGCACACTGTGCAGGCTGGCCAGGCCTTCCTCTGTGGGATTGGCTGGTTTGAGGCCAAACTGGTTCCTGCCCTCTGAGGTGGCCCATGGCTGCAAACTGTTGTTCACACCTCGCAGATAATGTGTACCTGAGCCAAAAAAACAGACATTATATCATACAAAGAGAATGACAACAGAACGCAAAAACCATTGTCATCTTTTGTTTGTGTATATGTGACCTGCCATTCTCTGAAAGTATTTAAGAGATAATAACTGAAGCACCATTTTTGTTCTTCACTCATTTTTCCCCATTTCATCTTTCTTCCATTAAAGCCTGCACCTTGATCAGTTGTCTTTGCACTTAAATAGGCAACTTAGTGTAAACTATTGTGTGCTATGACATTTAGTAGGTACATGATACAGTGCAACAGTCAGAACCTTCCCTTCAGCACCTTGAGACCGCAGAGACGCAATCTTCTCATTCAAAGTAGAGAACTACAACACTAAGGTATCAGCTAGGTGCTTGAGAGTATCCCCAAACCAGAGCTTAATTTGAGCTGTCTCAATCTACCTAGTGGAGTTACCACTTGAGTTATGGCCAAACCCCACTGCAGCCTCTCCTCTAAGGGGTATAACAAACTAAGTCTAAACACTTGAGTATTACCCAGAGTAATCTTTAGGTTAATTCTGCTTAGGCTGTGTTGAAGGTGACTCACTCAGATTTGTTAACGACCTCCATCGGTGAGCCATACCCATATCTCACCCCATGGCTTGCCCAACCTATGCCCCTTTTCCACTGTCATGGCGCGAGTCGAATATTTCCGTCTTGACCCATATTTGAGGTCTTTTCCATAGCTCTTGGGACCGGCTCACCTCCCAGAATTCTGGCCCGGCTTCTCAAGGGGTCCAAGCGAGCCGAGCCGTGACGTCAGAAACACTGTCGGTCACTGATTGGTCGGGGGAGGAGTCTGTGAAGTCCTTCCAAACAACCTGATCCACCATTTTTCTCTACCGCCTGCCATTAGCGATAACTCGAGGAGTGTATCTTTTAATATTTTGAAGCTATACAAAAACAATAATATCAAAGCCGTGGTCAAATGCAGAAGTGCAGGTGTTGTTGTGCTTGGTGGCTGATGAAAAAAGTCAAAGCGAGCTAGATGGAGCGATTGGAGGGTGGTTTGGACACGGCCATTGTTCTACTTGAATCATTTATAGAAGATAGTGAGTGTTTTCTAACTTTAAACATATTTTAAGTTACTCATCCTATCGGTTCCGAACATATTTTTAACTAACAAAAGAGGCTGACGCCATAATAGGACAACATCGGTGCTACGATGCTAAGCTAATTTGCATAAATGCTAACTGTCCTCCGGTCCCGTTTCTCACTATATTTTATCCAGAACGTATTTCAGCGCGTGACGGCTTGTCTCTAAACTCCACATTCAATCCTCCAAGCCTCCTGGCTTCTGCCCCTGCTCCATCAGTGGAGTCTGCACCTGACAGGACTCCATCACAGCCCAGCTGCACCTGACAGAGCAGCACAACGCTGCAGCCTTCTGTGCTTTGTAAGAACAAATGCAACATGTTCCACATCACTTTATTCGTGTCGATAAGGACTTGCTTTCATTTTATTTTTAAAGTAAAAAAAAAATAAATGTTTAATAAATACTGAATACGCACCACATGTTGAACATGTGGTGGGATGAAATTATGTACACAGGGTCCCAGTTACAGACAACAATAAAATGTAAAAGAAAAACAGTAATAAGATCTAAGATATGAACTAAGAAAAATATCAACAAAATACTATTAAAAATATACTAAGCACTAGTAGCAGTAAACAAAACAACAAGTCAAAGAGCAACATGAACTTGAGTTTGTGCAGCCTTAGAGAAGCTAAAACTGGAGAAATATGATCTCTCCTACTAACACTGGTTAAGACTCTGGCAGCAGCATTTTGGATCAACTGAAGACGTTTTAAAGAAGTATTTGGACACCCAGATAATAAACCATTGCAATAGTCCAGTCTAGATGTGACAAATTGCATGGCCGATGCTCAGCCACCCCGGGTCTTCCCATGTCGGCGACCACACTGCTCCAAGCTGTCGGCGCTCTCCTCTCGGAGCTGCCCGGCATAATCCAAGAGGCTGCTGACACAAAGGGACTTTCCGTCCCTCTCCTCCTTCACCTCTATCACCAGAGTGGAGGGTTTTACCGATCGGGGTTTTACCGATCGGGATTTTACCGATCGGGGTTTTACCGATCGGAGTTTTCCCTCGGTTCCCCCCCTGGAGCCGAGCCTGGCGGAGGCACTTTGGGCAAAAGCTTCCAGGATGGACCAGCAACCTGTCCCTCCAGGGAAGCATGACCAGATGGTGACAAAGCTCTCCAACCAAGCTCACCAGTGCTCATTCCAGGGTGGTATGTCTGTTTGGCTGTGGGCAAGAGAGGAGGATGCTGAGCTTGTTCCTGAACTGAACCTATTGAAGAATGCGTTCATTTCATTGGCTCTGTCCAGGCTTCCGTCCTTCTGCTCTTCCTTCTGCTTGAAGCCTGTGATCTTTTTCATTCCTGACCACACACATCTGATATTGTTCTGCTGGAGCTTGCTCTCCAGCTTCTTCTTGTACTCCTCCTTGTTGTTTCTTATCTTGACTTTTAGTTGCTTCTGTGTACTCCTCAATAATTCCCTGTCTCCCTCCCTGAAGGCTCTTTTTTTATGGTTTAGCAGTTCCTTCAGGTCATTGGTGATCCAGAGTTTGTTATTGGAGAAGCATCTCACTGGTCTGGTGGGGAAACCAGTCACTAGGGAGCACAAGCCAGTGTATCTCTTGCGCCGGGCCCAAGCCCGGGTAAATGGTAAGGGAATGTCAGGAATAGCAACCCATATAAAACACTTTTGCCAAAATCATAATGCAAGTTCATCAAAGCGAAACCATACCGGATCGGTCCAGGCCCGAGTTAACAACGACCGCCATCGGTGCTGTTGACAAACAGTGTGCCGGCAGAAATTGTGTTACTGTTAGTTGAAGACCACGAGAAGGGAAACGTGTCAGGAGATGGAGGGAGTAGAGGAAAGTGAAGAATTTAGGACTGAGGGTTGTAACTCTAAATGTGGGGACAATGACAGGCAAAGGTAGAAAGCTGGCTGACATGATGCAGAGAAGAAAGGTAAATGTTTTATGTGTCCAAGAGACCAAGTGGAAGGGCAGCAAGGCTTGGAGCATTGGAGCAGGGTTCAAACTGTTTTACCATGGTGTGGATAGAAAGAGAAATGGAGTAGGCGTGGTCCTGAAGGAGAAGTTGACAAAGAATGTAGTAGAAGTGAAGAGAGTGTCAGATAGGGTGATGTGCCTGAAGGTAGAAGTAGAAGGTCTGATGCTAAACATAATCAGTGGTTATGCTCCAGAGGTTGGATGTGATGAGGAGGAGAAAGATACATTTTGGAAAGATCTGGATGAAGTGATAGAGAGTATTCTGGGCGGCTGTGGCTGAGTGGTTAGAGCAGTCGTCCTCCAATGCGAGAGTTGGGGGTTGTCTTGCTTACCCGAGTGAAGTAGGCACAGGACACGTGCCACGTCCTCACTGCAGCCTTTCTCCTCCAAGGGATCTCAAACTAATCCTGAGACGCAGGTATTATCTGTAGCTGATTTTTCGGGACAGTCTAGTTCAAGGCTGTGTTGAGATGATTCGCCCAGACTGTTAACTACCTCTGATCCTTGCACCACACCTAAAGTCTCACCTCGTGCCTCGCCCAACCTAGCAGCAGGAGCGGGGACGTTTAGCAGACAAGGAAGCGCAAGTTAACGGTAGCTCATCTCCTGATTTAGCGTTACAATTGTTAACCGATCTGGCTTTGTTTAGAGTCTAGGCGCAGGACTCTCGGATGTTGTTTTATAATCAAAAGCTAGTAAACCGTTTAAAACCTCCAGTGCTTCTGTTGTTTCTCTGAACCAAGTTTTCCACTTTCAAGAACAAAAGGGGGTGTTGAAATAAGAATCCAAAATTTTACGTTTTGCTTTGCTTTAATCAATAATTATTGCAGGGGAACAGCGGTATGCACAGTAATTATTACATTAGATAACAAAGAGGTTACATGATGAATAATATTCACTCCTTAGTCACTTTCCAGTTGTTGACCTTTCCTGGGCAAGGTAGATTTCTGTCCCTGTGAAAGACTTGAGGATGGCTTGTGGACTCCACTCTGTTCGGCCTCAGATGTCTTTCTTCTGACCACCCACGCCCTGACTTACTCAGGCACACCAGTATCCACACAATTTACCTATACTCTCTACCTGACCCAATACGTTATCTCTCACTGCAATGAAGACCTTTCTGCAACTCTGAGCAACCAGGTTTATAATATAATTGACCTTTTTGCTTGCCAATTCATGCACTGCCGCCTTAATTTGGAATAAGGTTTTATTAAGGACTATTTCTGTGAAACGTCTCCTTACCATTTGTCATCTTTTGGTGGAATTCCTCCAGAATACAAAATCAGCAAGGAGCAGATTTCCCCATCCCCTCTTGGATGTGGGCCGTTTCTGGTCTTTTCAGCTGGTCTGAATTTGAAGAAAAAGATTCAGGAATAATCCGGGCTGAAGGTAGATAAATTGCTCCAAACGAAGTGTATTCCAACAGATTCACCCTTATTCTTCTTCAGCTGAGATCGTCCAAAACTTGTCCTATTAATCCACAATCGTCCCGTGGTCCAAACAGGTCATGTTTGTTACATCCACACACGAGTTTGTGGTCCCCTACAGCCGAGGTCTTACAGAGACATTTGATTTTATAGCCTGAGGTTTTGACTGACAATTCCAAAAAGATCATGCCATCGGATAAACCCAACCTTTTTTGGGCCGAGCTTAGGCCCGAATTACAGGCAGATCTATGAGGATCTGCCATGTCATTCCTCATGTATATTAAAATCTGGGTGTAACTCCTTCGAATATGCCTAGTCATTCTGAGTTGCATTTTTCTGGTTTGCTCAGAGCTGTTTTCAAGGGCCACCATTGCAAACTACTTCTGCTTGTGTAACTTTTCACTCACAACACACTTCTGAAATATTTCCTTGAGAACTCAGTGTTCTTTTCCTAATTTTTCAACATTATGAACAAACTTAAACAGAATACATTTAAAAATCACAAGA